CAGAATCAGGGGTACCCTGAGTTCTCATAATTCCTGCAGCCCGGTCATCCCAAAGCACTGTCAAAACGCGGACTTAACCCTGAGCCTAAACCCCTAAACTGCCGTTTTCAGGCGGCGCACTACTTGTGGCCGCCTGACAACGGCCTGAGTCTCCGGACTTGGGCTGTTTGCTGCATCTGTGCAGGGCTCCCAGGTAGGTGCGTCGGCAGTACTGCTTTTCCAAAGGCCGATGGCCTGCTTCCCAATGTATCGGCCCTGCTTTGTGTGTATGTGCTCAGGCGCAACTGTCAAGGCCTGGGCCAATTGTACGACGCAGCTTAGTGAGGCTCGCGTGTCTACCCAACCAACTGGCGTGCTGCGAGAGCCTGAATACCCACATATGGAAATGTTGAATTTTGGCCTCTGACGAATATTCAGGCCCGCCTTCGCTTAGGGCAGGCACTCCGCTTGCTGGGGCCTTAGCCCAGAACATGTGATGTCTGATAGGGCCCCTTGAGGGCTTGTTCCTCACATAATCAAACTGATCAGAAGTTTTCAGAACAGATACTACACTTTATCATATCCAAAAGGGCGAGTATCTTATCGCCGAGTACATGGGTGTGCTGATCAGCGTTTTTTTTTTTTTTTTTCCTAAATTAAACTGATGATTGATCAGATTTCTCACCTTTTTTTTTCTTTTCCCCCATGAATCGCCCATTTCCTTCCTTCCCTGCCAGCGAAGGCTTTTCGACGTTCCTTCTGCTGTTCAGCCTTTTCATTTTTCTTCTGCATGGAAAGATTCCACATTCTACCTTTTTTTTTTTTTTTTTTTTTTTTTGATTTCACATTCTGCCTTTTGCTGATTAGTTTGACTGTTTTCTCGTTTGCAGGATTTCGTCCATGCCTGACACAATAGGGAGCTGCATAGCTCTGCAAGAGGTCAGGAGGGTCTTGTCCTCTTATGTGGAACTCGGTGGAAATTTGGAAAAGTACTAGAGAATCATAGAGATATGATAATTATTAATTAATAATTATACAATATCAGTAATGAAATCAATGATCCATAACTCAAATGATTTAATTCAGTACATAATAAAAAGTGTATTATAATCATGGAGTACTTTGTCTATGGTTAGGTGTGACAGTCAGGGTCATGTCTCGTGTACTTCCCATCGGCGGGGG